CCTATTGGCCGTCCATCAATTATTCCAGCCTTCATCAAACGCAACAAAGCCATCGTCACCCTAGAATGCGATAAAAATACTGGAACTCCATATAAAGACTGGCTGTGCTTTTTCCGTTGTTTGGCTGTGCATAACGGCGCCCACACCAGAAATCTTCAGAGAGACACAAGACACTACTTTAGACTGTAAGTAATGCTATCTATTTATCTTACTTTCATCTCATTCCTTTATTTTATTAAGTTATGTTTTCATTTTGATATGGTTTTATCTAATTATTCTCAATTATTCTTATTCATTTTAAATATATATTTTTTTAAATTTCAGGTATGAAGTACAAATGGGCTCTAATCCTTCTGGTTTTAAGGGAGTTACCTTAGAAGAACTGGATGCCTTGGAAAAGCTGTATGAAGTCAACATCATGGTCTATTCACTTGAAATGGGTGATGATCAGCCCTTCGCAACCCTTGTCCGCCGCAGCCATCGTCACTACCCAACCACCATGTACTTAAACCTCTTCAAAGATCACTTTTCCTATATCAAGAACTTTGCTCGCTATAGCAAATCCTACAAGTGTACGCGGTGCGGAAAGTTATGGAAAGTTGCCGCTATGTGTCAGCGTCATGAGAACAACTGCGAGGCAAAAGTCCGTCTACGATTCCCTGGTGGTGCTTATAATTCTCCACAAACTCTGTTTGAACAACTTGACGATGAAGGAATACAAGTACCTGAACATCTGAGATATTACAAGTTCTTCGCCACATATGACTTTGAGTGCATGTTCAACAAAGACAATCTWCCAAATAACACCGAAAAATTATCCTGGCAAAACCGTCACGAACCGTTGAGCGTAAGTTGCTGCTCAAATATCCCTGGCTTCACTGAACCGAAGTGCTTTATATCAGAGGGAGACCCAAACCAGTTGCTGAAACAGTTTGTTGATTATGTGCTCATTATGAGTCAACAAAGCTATAATTTACTGTTAGCTGACTTCGAGCAGATATTTAACGAAATTGACATCAAAATCTCCGAAAGCGAAGGAAGTTTGGATTCTGTAGAAGATGACGAAAACCTGAATATTCTAATGGAGCTTCTAGAGAGCCAAGAACC